CTCCCCGAGCACAGCCCCGACCCCCAGGCTCCCCGCGGAGCCGGCCAGAACTCTCCCCTAGTGGGGCAGCTTCCTAAATCCCTCTTGGACATGGGGCTGATCCAGGCCTCAGCCCGGGGTCCCTGGGAGGCAGTGCCTTGTGCCTTCCACATGCGCTTCCACTGGCATCTGCATGGGGCCTGGGGTCAGGGAACGTGGAGGACTAGAAGGTGCCCACAGGGCTGGGCCACCCACCAGGCCACACGGACGTCTGGGAAACCAGCAGTCTACACTCCACTGGAGCCCAGCAGCCAATGCAGGCCTCTTCTCCCACTTTGTCCCACCAGCCCTCGGCAGGGCCACTGCCCAGGAGCCCACACGGCCTGGGCCTGACCACCCACTGCAGCTGACACAGGCCACCTCTCCCGTCCGTCCCACCGGCCAGGCCGCTGCCCAGGAGGAGCCTGTGTGGCCAGGCACTCACCACCAGGATGCCAGCAAAGGCCCGCATGTTTCTGACCAGGTCCAGGAGAGTGTTGGCCACCACGGCCATCATCTGAGGGCGGGAGAGCAGCAGCCCTTACCCCTCCTGCCCCCACCCAGGGGCCCTGACCCGAGACACAGCGGGGGCCGCTGGGACCTCACAAGCCACTGTCAACCCACACACCTGGATACACACCCACACACCTGGATACACATCCACACACCTGGATACGCACCCACACACCTGGATACGCACCCACACACCTGGATACACACCCACACACTAGAAACACATCCACACACCTGGATACACACCCACACACTAGAAAGACATCCACACACCTGGATACACACCCACACACCTGGATACACATCCACACACCTGGATACACACCCACACACCTGGATACACACCCACACACCTGGATACACACCCACACACTAGAAACACATCCACACACCTGGATACACACCCACACACTAGAAACATCCACACACCTGGATACACACCCACACACCTGGATACACATCCACACACCTGGTTAACACCCACACACCTGGATACACATCCACACACCTGGATACACACCCACATACCTGGATACACATCCACACACTAGAAACACATCCACACACCTGGATACACATCCACACCCTAGAAACACATCCACACACCTGGATACACATCCATACACCTGGATATATCTGCACACACCTCTCTACACCTACACACGTGTATACACACCCACACACCTGCATCTGCACACTCCTGCCTACCGCTGCACACACCTACAGACAAACCCATACATCTACACATATCTGCACACACCTGTCTACACCTACACACACGTGTGCACACACCCATATACCTATATATATCTGGATACTCCTATATACACCTCTACACCTGTAGACAAACCCATACACCTTTATATATCTGCACACATTTGCATATGCCTACACACACCTGTATACATACCTACTCAAATATACCTACCTGTGTCCACACCCAAACACCTATACATTTGCATATACCTATATATATCCATACACGCTTACATCACCACCTGTATATACAACATGCACCTATACACATATCCGTACACCCACAGATACCACCCACCTGTGTGTACAGACCACACCCCCACATACTCATGCACACAACATACCTGTGTACACAATACACACCTATACACACCTGCACACCCATCCCCACATACCTATACACACCTGCAACATCTTTATACACACCTTCACCCATCCATAAACACCTGCCCACACCATATATGTATCCTCACACCTGTACGCACACCTGCACACACCTGCATACATACCTCCAACCATCCACATGTACCTGGACATACCTGTATGCACACCCATATGTACTCACATGCCATACACACCAACACACATGTATCCAAACTCACACACACCTGTATGTACCACCTGTGCATACACCTACATGTGTCTCCACGTTATGACTGCAACCCCCACAAACACTTCTATGCACACACCTGTACACACACCCACAGGCCAGGCACCCCCCCCCAAAACCACAGTACACACACACCCATATGTATCCACACCCCCATGCCCCTGGACACACACCCCCACCTCTACCCGCATGCACTCATGCACTCCCACGCACCCCCACCCACCCGCCAGCCTCATGGGCTCCCCTCCCCGAGGCCTGAATGCCAAGACCCTCTTCTGCCCAGGACCTCTGTCCACACTGTACAGGCTGGGGCTGGGCCCAACCCCACTCAGAGGGTCCTCGCCACCTGTCGCCCTCCCCTTTGAGGTCAGCGTCACGCCCCACTGGCCAAGGCTCACAGACGGTCCCGCCCCCCGCGCTGCGTCAGGCTGGCCCACTGTCCCTGTGCCCACACACACGTGCGGCCCTGGGGCTCTGCAAGCTTCTCCACAGGCAGGCCCCGCGCCCACAGCCTCCCATCTCCCGCGACCCCACTCAGCACCGCCAGCGGGGCGAGGTCAGGGGTTGGCCCGAGGGGCCCCCAGTGGGCCGGCCGCCTCACCTGGATGTTGGGGATGGTGCGCAGGAAGCGGAACACAATGAGCATGTTCACCAGCCGTGTCATGTCCCACAGGGACATCAGGCCCACCGTCTGCGGCCTCCTGGAGAGACAGGCGTGGAGGCGGCTCAGAGCCAACCGGATCCAACAACGGGAACAGGAGGCACGAGAGACGCAGACAGCAACGGCTGGGGGCAGACTCACCAGCCTCAAGCACCGCCACAGCAGAGGGCCCACCCGAGCCCGCTCACCCCGCTGCCCTCGCACCCGTCCACACGGCCCGCACAGCCACTCCGTAACCCTCCGCCGACCAGGAGGCTGCAGACGTGTCCCCTCGCCCTCCTTGCCTTTCTGTGGCGAACCGTCTTAAACGTAAGCCCGCACTCCCACATCACCCCCAAGTCAAAGCTCTGAGCTGGGCCAACGTGTGGCTTTCAAATGCCCTTTAAAAGAGGGGACGTGCCGGCTTGAGGAGCACAGCAGCCTGGCTGTCCCTACAGCACTGACGCTGCCAAGGGCGGCACGCAGAGGCCGTGCCGGGGAGTCTGCCCCGCTCCTGCTCGCCACAGCTTGCAGGAGAGCCCCCGTGGTGGCACGCCTGCAGCTGGGCCCGGGGCTGCATCTTGGGCTCCCAGAGCTGATGGCACCCGCCCGGGGGCGGCCCATCCACATCCCCAGACAGAGCAGCCCCTGGAGGTTTTCAACCCCTTGACAAAGTGCCATGGCACACGCAGGGCCAGGAAGTACCCAGCTCCTGGCCTAGGCTCCCCGGCAGGGCCGGGCCGGGTGCTGGGGCCGCACCAGTGCCCAAGTCCAGACCAGCCTCACTCCTGCCATTTCACAGGTAGCACACCTGGCACCCAGCGGAGGGGTGACCCCAGCTCTCAGGCTGTGTGCACGCAGCCCAGGTCTCCAGCTGGTGGAGCCCGTCACCCCAGACCTCAGGGCAGCTCAGCGTCCAGCCTAGGGACACTTCAGGGGCCCAGGGGGTGAATGGCTGCTCCCCGTGAACCACCTGGGCCCAGCAGCTCAGCCAGGACAGAACCTAGCATCCTGGTGCCTGTGTCAGCCCCTGGGGACAAGCCAAGACACATCCAGGGCAGCCCCAGGAGCCCGGGAAGGGTCTGCAGGCACCCACACCATGGCCGGCAGGAGCCCCCAGGTCAGCCCTGCCTTAAACTGCCTGAGCATGCGGCCAAGGCTCAGGTGACCCACACACAGACCACACAGCACCCGGAAGCACGCCGGCGGGGTGCTGGTGCTTGGCACCTCCCCCGGTGTCCTCAGGTCACATACCAGCCGGGGTGTGGGATCCGGTACACAGCCAACGTGGAGATCTCTAGAACCTGCACAGACAGGAAGGCTCTGCTGCAGCCTCGCCAACCCAGGACGTGCACCGCGAGCTCACAGAGGCCACGAAGGGCTCAGGCACCGCCCGGGCAGACCCCGTGGGTGGGAGCTTCATGTCAGGCTTCCTCCAGAGACAGGGCTGCCCCCAACAAGGCAGGCGGAGACGAGGGTCAGAGTTCCTCAAACCCGAGCATCTGTTCATGCGCCAGGGGCCGCCGGCTCTAACCGGTCAGCGATGCGTGATGGGTGATGAGTGATGTCACGGCTGTGAAGACCCCCAGCCGCAACCCCCCGCCACAGGCCCTGGGGGAATGGATTTAGTGTCTGTGGCCACTGGGTGCCTGGGGCCACCATACCCTCACTGCCTGAGCTAGGATGACACTCAAGCCTTAGTGGCTGTGCCCTGTGCTGGGGTCCTGGCCAGGGCTCCTCTGGGGGTCTGAGAGGCACCGGCTACAAGGTCGCTTGGGTCCAACGCTGACGCCACAGACCCCGTCCCCTGCAGAGCCCGCCTGCCCAGCGGCTCAGCCACGGGAGCTGCCCCCCCACTTGGGCAGGAGCCACCCCCAGTGCCCTCTGGTCCTCGGGAGCCTGACACACAGCAGAGCTGGCGCGGGGCACGGCCCCCACCGCCAACCACCTGCCGCCCATGCCCCGGCCCTGGGAGCTCTACCAGCAGGAGCAAGGTGAGGAAGCCGTCAAACAGGTTGCTGAGGCGCGACACATAGCCCTGGAAGCCCAGGGCAAAGATCTTAAGCAGCATCTCCACCTGGTAGTACAGGATGAAGACGGAGTTGAGGATCTGAAAGGGCAAGGTGGGGTACAGGGTCAGTGCTGGGGCGCAGGGCTGACCCCCGACCCCACCCACACAGCCTTACTCCTGGAACCACTGGCCCCCCCGATCCCGCCCACAGCAGCTGAGACGGCACAGTGGCCCACCTCAGTGCTGACTCGGGGGGACCTCTGAGCCCCGCCCTGCAGTCAGTGACATGGGATCCCACACCTGGTAACCACCACCTTATGCTCACCTGGCCTATCTGCCCACCACACTGAGGGCCCCTCTCTCCGACGGCTGGATGGCTGGCACCACTCCTCTGCATCTCCCCCCCCGCCCCGTCCCAAGGCCTGCCTCTCCGGACCCTCACAGGCTGTACCGCCTCCCAAGGGAAGGGCCTGCCCCGCTGGAATGGCCATGCCAGCCCAGCCTGGTGCCCTCAGGCCCCCTGGGTAGGTGTGCCCCTCTGAGCCCTTGCCACAGCACAGAGCGGGCCCGTGCGGAGAGCGGTGCAGGGCTTACCCCCAGGAGGAAGTCGTCATGGTCGTCCTGCACCATGTCTGAGTCCAGCACCAGGAACACCTGGGAGCCAGAGTGAGGGGTGCTCACCAACCTGGCCCCAGCCACACGCACCTTGGGGCACACTGCTGCCGCGAGGCACAGCCCAGGCTCCGGGGGAGGGGGGCCAGGCGGCAGAGCAAGGGGCCCCACGTCCCGCCAAGGGCAGGCCGCACTCACGCAGATGGACACGAGGTTCCCAAGCGCGATGCAGTTGCCCAGGTAGTCGAAGTAGCGGTGGCCGAAGAGGAACTGGGCACTTCGCAGGAGCGCAGAGCGGTACTCGGGCCTTGGGGGGAGCTGCGATGGGGGCACCCCTCAGGATCCCGCTCCCACGGGAGCCCAAAATCGCCCACACCCCTCATTATGGGATTCGACTTGTTCCCACCTCAGCTCACGTGCTGGTCTATCCAGCCTAAGAAAATAATCCCAAAGATGGAAGAAGTTTCACGCCCAACTGTTCCTCACAGTGGTCCGGAACACCAGAAAGGGCAGACACAGCCTAAGTGCCCAGGGAGGGCGTAATGAAACCACAGCGGGACACACAAGTCGTCTTATTTGTGTGCAGAGTGCTTGTCACAGTGTGGTGAACACTGTATGACAAAACTATGGGCTTGTCACTAGAAAAAATTAATTTAGAACAAAAATAACTCACACACAGCTAACAGGCAGAGTGGAAAAGGATGGAGGATAATCTGGCAACAAGCCCATTAACACACTCGGCTGCTAACGTAAGGTCGAGGGTTTGAATTCACCCAGAGGCCCCGCGGAAGAAAGGTCTGGTGATCTCCTTCTGAAGGGCACAGACACACACACCCTACGGAGCACGGCCCTCTCACCCACGGGGTCACCAGGAGCCACACTCAGCAGTAACAACCTGGCCCGCCTTGATTTCACTGTGTGTTTATTAAGATTAAACTACCCAGGAGACCCGCATTCCCAGCATTCCCAGCATTCCCGTGCTTGGGACCCCCTGCAGAGCCTCGAACGAGGGCCCAGGAGAGAGGACTGACATCAGTGGCACAGCCCGGCTCCTAGGGCCGCCGGCCCCCCGCACCCACCCACGGGCACAGCCACGGGCACAGCCACGGGCACAGCCCGGCTCCTGGGGCCCCTCAAACACCCTCCCATTGCCTGTGCCCCCTGAACCCCACAGCTGCTTCCTGCCTACCCAGTGGCAGCACACTAGCCTCTGGCGGGTGACCAGCAAACATCTCCACCACCTGTGGGCAACCACAGCTTGTCCTCAGGGATGAATGTCTGCCCACTCACAAACCCCGGACGACCAGCCACCCCTGGTGACCAGTGACAGCAGAAGCTGGTGGAGAAGGTCCCCCATCAGCCAGGGCTGGCCCCAGGAGCTACCTCCTTGATCACCCTTTTGTCCACCTCATTGAAGAGCTTCTGGAACTCGTCAGCCGACAGCAGACCATCACCGTAGGAACGCACCTTCTACAAAAGACAGGAGCCGGTTGAGCAGGGCCGTGGCCCCAGCCACACTCCAGGGAACCAGGCCCATCTGCTGGCAGGTGGCCCAGGGGAGCCTGCCACACAGGCAGGCGGCGCTACCTGCTCCATGGCCTGTTTGCACTGCGAGGCCACGTGGATTTTCTTCAGCATCTGCAGGACGATCTCGGGCTTCACCCCAGCCCTGGGAGGAAACAGACAACGCTCCGTGAGCACAGCCAGATCCAGGGGCCTGGCTTCCGACCCTGAGGCCCTGAGAAACAACAGCAGATGGGCTCCGGAGCGCCCGCCATCCGTCCTCCCTCCCCGTAAAACCCGACACAACCCATCATCCAAGGGAGGAATGCGGAGACCCAGAGCAAGCAGACGCCAGCTCCCAACAAACGAGCTGCAGGACAGACCCGTCCCACTGGGGGCACCTCCTCGCCCACCCCCGCGGGGCCCCGAGCCCTCGGCCACAGGTGCGAATGGCACGGCTGGCAGGAAGCACCCAGGGCTCCCGGGGGGCATTCAACAGGGAGAACAGGGCCAGGGCCTTAGGGCCCTTATCAGCCTGTGGCCTGGAGGGGGCACCAGGACCAAGAGGTCACATGGACAGGGGCACCATGAAGGCCTGGAGCCCCAGGGACATGGTGGTTTCCACGATTCCAAGCGGAGTGCCCACAGCCCAGCAGCAAGTGACCTGCGCTCACAACACAGGCGTCCTCAGTGTCCTGCCCGTGGGGGACTGCTGACCTGGCCAGCGCTTCCGTGTGCACGTTTACACCACAATACAGAAAGCTCAGCAGGGTCCACACCTGCCAGCGGGGGCTCAGCACACAGCAGGTGCTGGGCTCGGGGAACACACATGCAGCCCCATTCCAGAGCAGCGGCCCCTACTCTCAGAAGAGGGTCCCAGGCCCTCCCCCTCCTCGGGATGAGTCCTGGCCGTCCCCACACTCACGCCCGACCACGGCCTTCTGTCCCCTCCTCCAGGGAGGCAAGGACTTCGTATGCAGCCCGGGTACCCAGCCGTCTCCGGAAGAGTGACGTCTGCAGAGAGAGCTGCAAAGGGACGACACGGGGGTGCTCGCTTGGCCCCTCCCTCAGCCAGAGCCCAGGCCTGAGGGCACCCGGCTCCCCAACCCGGGACAGCTCACGTTCAGCAGGAGGGGAGGGTCCCGCAGGCGGGCACCCAGGCCAGGGCTGCCAGCAGTCAACCAGCTGCAGCTCCCTGTGGACCCTGAGAGCCAGCAATCCCAGCAGCCCTCCAGGAAGGGGTATCCTCGGTGGCAACAGGGATGGGAAACCGGCAGCAGGGGACACTGCTCCTAGAGACTCTCCCGCAGGGCACAGTGCCAGGCAACAGGTGCAACCACTGGAGCCAAGGCCAACAGACCACCCGTTGGTCAGCCCAGTCCCAGATCAGCCCCGGCCTGCCACCCTGGCGTCCTCTCCTGCCGAGGACGGTGCTGTCTCACCATCAGGTAACCCCGGAACTGATTGTAGATGATGGCCGTCAGTAGGTTCATCAGGAACAAGCTGCCTTCAAGAGGAGAGGCGGTCAGCGTCCTCCACGGCAGGGCGAGTGTCCCCCACAGCCCAGTCAGTGTCCTCCACGGCCTGGTCAACGTCCCCTATGGCCCAGTCAGTGTCCCCCGCGGTAGGGTGAGCAAACCCCAAGGCATGGTCAGTATCACCCATGGCCCGGTCAGCGTCCCCCACAGCCCGGTCAGCGTCCCCCACGGCCCAATCAGCGTCCCCCACGGCCCGGTCAGCGTCCCCCACGGCCCGGTCAGCGTCCCCCACGGCCCGGTCAGCGTCCCCCACGGCCCGGTCAGCGTCCCCCACGGCCCGGTCAGCGTCCTCAGCCACGGGCTGGCAGAGTGGGAAGGGCAGCAGTGTCTCCACCCCACCCAGAAGCAGCCGGGTCTGGGAGGCCCCAGGGCGTGGGCCAGAGAGGACTCGCCTCCTGCCGCAGCCCCCACCCCGCGTGCTCATCTACAGAACGTGTGCGCGCACGCCCGGGCCATCCAGCCATGGGCACATCAGCGTGAGAGACCACGCAGACCACAGGCAGGCCCACCCGGGTCACCAGGATGAAGTTACGGGGATGGAGGGCAGCCCCCGGCCCAGGATAAGATGAAGTTACAGGGTCAGAGGGAGGCCCAACTCCACGGGGGACCCCATCAGGGCAGGCCCTGGGCCGAGCACTGTGTGGCCGCAGACCCACCCAGTCTCACCTATTACGGTGAAGAGGATGAAGAAGATGCAGTAGGCCCGGTTCTTGGAATACGCTGGCATCATCACTGAGGGGACACTGAGACATTAGCACGGGGCCTGAGCCCCACCAGGACCCCACACCACCGGCCCTCCCCCAGGACAGGAGGCCGGCTCACCCAGAGCCCAATCCTCGCACCTCTGCTTGCACGCCCTCGGGAACGGGGAGCTCACTACCTTCCTAGGACACTCAGCCCTATGTTGGGCTGACGTCGCCCCCACAAGCCCTCCCAGAGAGGCAGGCAATCTCTGCCGGCTCACGGTCATCACCCCGACCCCGCAGGGCCCATTCCTACCCCCTTCCCCACCGCGCCCACCGTCAGGGCTGTTGGCTGTGGTCAGCAGCACCAGGAGGGAGGTCAGGGCCTCGGGCAGGTTGCGGAAGTAAGTCAGCCTCTCCTTGCTCAGCCCATCGTCCTGCCGGGAACAGATGTGGGCAGCTGGGCTACCAGCTGCTGCCTGAGGCTTCCATGGCCAGGACCCAGCAGGCCCCTCACCACCATTCCCAGCAGGCTCTGCAGCAGACAGGCTCTGACTCAAGGCACCCACCCACTGCCCCGTCCCTCCACTCCCCTCCCCACCCCCGGCCAGGCCTCACCTTCTCACCGGCGAACAGCAGCATCCCGAACATAGTGAACAGGCACAGGTGCAGGGTCAGCAGCAGCGCCACGCTGGGGGCAAGCGCGACGGTCAGCACAGCAGGGGGCGGCCCTCCGGCCAGGGCGACCGGGCCCAGCGTGGCAGGGGCAGCCCCCACGCCACGGTGACCGGGCCCAGCGTGGCAGGGGCAGCCCCCACGCCACGGTGACTGGGCCCAGCATGGCAGGGGCAGCCCCCACGCCACAGTGACTAGACCCAGGGACAGCTGACCCCGCCCACATCAGTGACGACGCACCCACAGAGCTCCCCAAAGTGCCAGCCTCCCATGCCCAGGACCAGACCTGCTCAGCCTCAAGGGGTCCCAAGAATGTGTGTGCTGAGCCCCAGGGGGTCCCACTGGCCATGCCCAGTGGAGGGCTCTGTTTCACGGAGATTAAACCGCAAGCCCAGAGCATGCCCCAGGGGCCAGTGCACTGAACAGAGGCCGGGGCGGGGGGGAGGGCTGGGGAGAGGTTGCTGCCACAGGAGGCGGGGACCTGTGGGGAGCGAGGCCGAGGTGCCAGAGGCCTGACCACAGGAGGAGGGCCAGGTACTCTGGCGGTGACAGGAGTCAGGAGGGCTTCTGAGGGGAGAGGAAGATGGCAGACCGGGGAGGGGCTGAAGGAGACAAGCAAAGACCCGGCCCCCAGCAGAGGGGCCTCAACAGGA